ACAAAATACCCCCCAAATAATATACCCACTGCCATACAATATACCCGGGGGGTATGAATCAAATTTCGATCACGTGGAATGTAAAATACCCGGGTACCTTGCACTGCGTTTTACGGTATATATATACCGCCATATATATGCCATATATATGCTATATATATGATATATATATGCTATATATGCTATAAAAAAAATTGGCAAGAATCAACATCGAAGAGTTAGTAGATTGACAGAGATTCAGGGTCTAATACAGTATACGACAATATTACGGAAATTATTTTAGTGACAATTATTTCAATTATCTAATAATCACAATGAGTATGTTTCGAAAGGCTGGTTGGGCTAAAGTGATAAATAAAGCATGCATAATCATACATGATATAAATTAATTTGATGTTTTGGCCACGCGCATAAATTGATAAATAATTGACGTATTTATTGCCTTTTGATGCCATTGTTATTGTTTAATAGGTTTAATCCTTAAAAATTTTCTATGTGTTAGATAATAATTGGATCTTAATTCCATGCAAAGTCAGTCATTTGACCACAATTGGGTAGAATATAGCACGTGTTTAAAGAAATCCACCAATCAGAGATGAATATTTTATAACAATTTAATTATTAATGTAATTATTAATGAATTCCGGCATTAACCGCCATTGTTTTATATTTTAGATGATTAAAATACTTGTAATACTTGTATAAAATATAGTAACATATTCAATTCCTAACTAAATTTGGGTAATTTGGAGAAATTTTGTTTATCAAAATAACAATACTTCATTCATTCATTCATTCAACTCATTATGTTATGCATATAGCCAGTTACTACATGATATTGTCTTAAAAAAGCCTGTAGAAACGAATATATCACGTGTAAAAATTTGTCAGTTCAATCAATTTCTATTCCAATAATCGTTACATCTCGTTACATCTTGTTACATCTCGTTACATCTCGTTACATCTCGTTACATCACATTAGCAGTTTCTTATTTTGTTTAGGCTTGGCTCCTCTAGACGTGATCGAATCCTGTAATAGAAACCTGTCATGATATTTTTCTGCATTGAAATCGTTTCGTTAGATATTTTGTAGATACAGTAAGTACGTACGTATGTACGTATGTATGTACTTACGTACGTGTTTGGCTTGCAGACTCCCCGCCTAAGATTATAATTAATTATAGATTAATTATAGATTAATTATAGATTATATAAAATTTTCTTAACATATTCCTATATTTTCCTATATTATCACGTTTTATAGTGTGTTATAGTGTGTTATAGTGTGTTGTTATAGTATGTTATGTATGTTATAGTGTGTTATAGTGTGTTATAGTGTGTTATAGTGTGTTGTTATACGTACGTACGTACGTACGTAGTGCTATACTGCGTTGCTACTGACTAAGTTACCATTTATATACATTTCATTGGATGCGCAAAGACCAATCGGTATTAGATTATTAGATTATTAGATTATTACAGTATTAGATATTACAGTATTAGAATACAAGTGGACTTTTTATCTTTTTATTACAATGACCATTATCTTATCTATATGCAAATTAAAGTGTAATCATTTATTTCATTTGTGGATATTTAAAATAAACACAAACAATATATTATCGGTTATTGTGTGATATTTATTAAAAATATGTCAAATTTTCTGATGTCTCGTACGGTTGATGTGCCTTGTGTGCATTGTTTATGTTATTTGTGCTCTCACTTTCAGCCTACAACATGTCTAATATAGTAGATTACTTTATTATAGAATTGTTTCCGTTTTAAAAAAAAAAAAAAAATTTTTTTTTTTTTGCAATATATATTTATATGACTCTCTCAGAATTTACCAAACTACTGATCCTTAATTAACGAGCTTAACGACCATTTTAACGACTTTAATATTCTGCTGGCTTCTATATCAGCTCTATTTCTGGTCATTTAAACCTTCCTTCCTCCCTCTCTATTCTTTACTTCTTAACGTCGTAAATATAATATAAATTCATCAATATATATATATATATATTATTACGTAATTTTATTTTTTATAATTCTATAAAAAAAAATATATAAATTATATACCTCACGACTGTTATTGCCCGATTTCTCACGATAAATCTTTAACGGTTTCACCTATTGATGAAACCCAATCGTTACGCAAATTCAACGAATCAACCTTTTTAATTTATAAGGGCTCGTATACGATTTTGTTATTCTTTTTAAGAGTTTGTCGTTAACTGAAGAATATTTTAGCTCTTGGTACACACCATCAACCGCCCTACTATTTCTCGCTCTCTTAAGTATTATCGATCGAGATATTGCTTTTTTCCGTCTTACAATGCCTCACGCCACAGAGACATTGAACTCGTCGACTGGTGGTGCCTCTATCTTGTCGTCATTGCCTATTCCGATTCCAAACAGTACGATCTCGAACAGTCTGTACGGTCGTAGTATCCCCGCTTTAGTTGCCGACCCGTCTGTATCTTCCCATAAGTATGTGCTTTCCTTATTCTAATTTTTTATGTCTTTGTCGGAATTTCTTAATCTTTTACTTTTCCGAGATTACGATCTTTTGATCTCGTTATTTAAATTAGACTATTTACATTTTAATTTTTATTTTTTTATTTAATTTTTATTTTAATTTTTATTTTAGTTTTTATTTTAGTTTATTTTATTTTATTTTATTTTATTTTATTTTATTTTATTTTATTTTATTTTTATTTTATTTTTTAATTTTTTTATTTTTATTTTTGTTTTTTTTAATCATTTAAATTGATCTCTTCTCCAAGTTTTTGTATGTCTTTATATGTCTTTGTATTTCAACCTTTTAAATTTTAACCTATATCTTTTCAATTTCTAGCTCTTACTCGGATTACGTACATAATTCTGTAACAGCCTCGGCTGATGATAATTCGAGTACCTTGCATGATCAAGACTTATATGTTGGTTACTCTACGGACGGTGCCAGTTTTACTTCTCCTCCGTCCGATTCTCATTTGAAAGTCCTCGAAATTAATCATTGTCGTGATAATATGTGCTGTAACATGGATCATGGCAATTTACACGATCTTTTACAGCATATTGATACTTTTCATCCGAGATTAAAAGTGGTTGATGGTGTCATATTTCCGTTTGACACCAGTACCGTGTATACTCAATGTGAGTCTCTTAAGTCACATATCACATGATCACATGACCATAATTTCTCCGGTATTTATTACCGGGGAATCAACCGTACTTAATTTATTGTTAACGATTTTCGTTCTGATCAAGTAGACAACGGTTTCCATACTTTTAATACTGCCCCTATTGGTTTTGTGCACCATTCTATGGCCAATTCTTCTCCTCAAAGTCCCATTACCGAATCAAAGCCTATTCTTAACTTATCTGATGATTTCAATTTCCATACTTATATAGATGCTGCTCCTTCATCTGTTATGAGTAAACAAAAGTGGTGCCCTCAAAATCTCGGTCAAGGTTCCGTTTCACAAGATGATAAATCTTGTGATTCCGACGCTGAACTCCGTCTTCCTTATCAATACCCTGTGCTGTATGAAAATAAAAACACACTAAATCCTTCAAGTCTTAGTATCAATGAGACAACATATATTCGTGATCAAGCCCCTTCAAATTCTTCTTCAATATCTACAAGCTATGATTCTCCCCCACATGCTTTTCAAATGAACGCTGATCAAGATCAATTATTATCTGCTGTTCAATCCCCATTAATGTCTTATCCTCCCACTCCTATTGATGTCACTGATTCTTCAACTTTCTTACGTTCTACAACGTCTTCACCTTCAAATTCAAGGGAATTTTCTTCCTTCATTCCAGTTTTGGACAATCAGTCTTCAATTTTGACTTCCTCTCCACCATCATCTACGACTGTTCTTACTAATTTAAATAATAGGCAACAAAATTCTTCTATTATAACTAAATCAAATGATACGAAACCTTCATTGAATAATTATACTTCTCTTAATATTTCGGACTATTATGTATCTCGACCGAATGGTCCTGTAAGATCTCAAACGACGCCACCTTCTTCATCTACTTCTCAATCTGATCAACGTCGTCGACGTTCATTAACCACAAATCTTAATTTAAATGATTCTGATACAAATCCTTCTCAACAAAATTCTTATGTATCAAGATCATCTCCAAATGTTAACGATGATAAATCTAATAATCAACGTGGTTCACCAGGTATTATTATATTTATGTACTTTTAATTCTATCTTTTATTATATCTTTTTATTTGAATTTTCATTAACAATTGTTTCTGTTAAAATAACAGCTAATATTTATAATCAGAGGCGTGCGTCTTCCTCCTTAGAGGATTCTAATTTGTTAGTCCATCATCAATCATCTTTTATATCAAATTTTGTCTCATCCCAGAGATCTGACTCAGTTGGTTCGGATCAGGATTTTTCTCAACCTGGTACTTCAACTACTGTAGTTCCTCGTGATCAACATAGACAATTACCTTCTTCTACTGTTGATCCTAATTTGTTAGTTGGGATGACCGATTTTATATCAACGAATAATAATTATTTACAAGGAAATCCTACTTCTTCGATTGATTCTCTCCAAAGATCGTCTTCGGACTCTAAGAATTATATGACTGTTCGAGCGAATCCATCTTCAAATGATCCACGTGGTCCTTGTACGCCCGGATCATTTCAAAAATCATCTTCCTCGACAGATAATACTATTATTGGTTCATATTTACCTCCTGTTGCTACCTCGCCCTATTCAACCGACGGTTATCACATGGTAGGGTTAGTATCTTCCGGTTCGACAAATTCTGGATTAGTCTCATCTTTCGTAAGAATCCGTCCAAAAACTGTTAATGGTATGTTGTTTTTTTAAAAATATTTATCATATTATTTTAACAATATAGGTAATGAATACATTTTTATTATTAGGCATGGTCGCAATGTCTGACGTTTACGCAGATCCTACTTTAACTTCCTCTGATGGCTTTTCACAAGGAAAAAAATTTTCTTCAAAGAAACGTGCTATGTCGACAGATACAAGGTCGTGCAAACGCCGTGTTTCAAAGGTATGATAGGGTTAAATTTATCGGATTCTAAAACTTGGTATTTTTTTTACTAAAAAATTATTTAAATGTTTACAGTCATTAGAAACTTCCAATATTTCATCAGTTACCGTCTTGGCATCTGATGTGTCTTTGATTACTGAAACAAGTGGCGGGTTAAGTTCAGATGACGTAGACAATCATCCATATCGGTGTCCTGTGCCCGATTGCACAAAGGCATATAAAAATGCTAACGGCCTAAAGTACCACAACGAACACGGACATACTGTATATAATCCATTTTCTATAGTTTTATTCTCTATTATTATTATTATTATTATATAAAATCTCAAATATATATATATATATATGCTTATTTTTTTTAGAGCAGTGATGGCGCTCGACAAAAACCCTGGCCATGCCGCGTAGAAAATTGTCACAAAACATATGGTAGTAAGGGGGGTCTTATTTATCATGTCAACCGCAACCATCCAAATGACTTATGGGCTTTACCCTAATTTGGTTGGTACGGGTAAGCATCTTTGATATATTTGTTTTGCTGAATTATATATATACTGTTTAATCTGTGTTCTGACAATAAATACATATACTTTTTTAATTTAATAGAGATTCTTTAAAGGTTTTTTTTTTCTTTAAAAAAGTACATTATATATTATGATTTAATTAAAGACTATTATGGTAGAAAAAAAGAAAATTTTAATAATTATGAAGGGTTAGTTCCATCCAATAAGCACAAAAAAAAAAAAGAAAAAAACAAAAAAAAAAGAAAAAACAAAAACTATATGAATAATCTATGAAGTTCGACAGAAACAATATAATTTGTTTTCTGTTTTAATGAACAAGCAAATGAACACCTTTTTTTTCTTACCTTTTTATTCCTTTTATTTTAATCTCGAACAACAAAAAAGACCAATCTTTTTTTTTTTTCAAAAGAAAAACAAAAAAAAAAAACACATTATATAGAACTCATTACGGCATTTTATAACTTTATATAGACTACGATCGGGCAGCGTATTGTCTAGATGACATTTGTTCGTGCTATAGAGATAGAACATTCTTTAATTCGCATTTTAAATCGCATTTATTTCGATATTGCCTTTTTTTCTCCTTTGGGATGCCAATCGTTCGTTTCTTCATCGATCAATATTCGATATTTTTTTTTTGGCACACACAAGATTTGCATATTTGCATTTTCCCTTTTATGTTTTTTGTTTTTTTTTCTATTGCATAAACACCCAAAAGTACTACTAGTAGAGTAATTTTTGTTTCTATTTCACACGATCATATTTTTTACATATGCATCGTAATAAAAGATTGTCACTGCCGGCGCCGGCTGATGGCATTGTATTTTATAACACTATCATATCAAGTCCTAGAAATGAAATTAATTATCCTTTATTAATATGAATATTTCTTAATGATTGTCAATTCATTTTTTATTTCATTACTTTATTAAAGATTTATTTAACGTTAAGCAATGTTTCTAGGATAGACCCTGATTCTACTTGCACTAACGTGCTGTAGGTCATGGTCAATTTTTAAATTTTTAATATTTTGATTATTTGGATTCTTTTAAACATGATTATAAAACAAAATTATAGAATAAAATATTGATTTCTTAAATTTATAATATTTAAAGTGTATATTTACACACAATATATATATATATACATTTATTGTATCTGTTTGAAATTTATATTTTATATTTTATACTTGATATATATATAATATATATAATATATAATTCATAATTTTTTACAACTTAAATTTTATTTAAATACGTGTACGTATTAAATTTTTAATACCTATTTTAAAGCATAGTTATCCATTTCAAGTTTTTGTTTTAAATTATATATTTTTTAATTTTGTTACGTACGCACGCATAACTTTTACGTATTAGTTTCTCGCAGTAATATACGTACGTACGTACTGTACGTACTTGAATAATTTTTTTTAAGGAATAACAGTTTTAAATACTGTATGTATTTGATTTTTTTTATTTAATAAAAAAATACATCATTAGTGTAATGCATTATTATATACCGATACTATAAATCGTTATCGTTATGTTAGGGTTTGGGTTGTGATCGAAACGAGGCCTAGTTTATACAAAATTTTGCAAGAAAAATTTCTTTTTTTTGCCAGAGTGCCGACCTGTCGGTTCTACTCGAACATACAGTACTATAAAATATACTAATCAAGAATTATAATTATAAAACAGTAGCGGTAGTACTGTCAAAATTAAAAATACCTTCAATAATAAAGACATTGTGTTCTTATATTGTTACGGAAGTTATATAAAAAGAGTATGTGGGCTTTTATCAAACATTACCTAAATTTAAAGATGCAAAATAGCCATGCTGGCTTGTATATTACCGTCAGCCATTGTTTCCGAAAATCGGTGTTGGCCATTTTAGGTCATATCCAACTTTGTAAGTACCGTAAAACGCCGTATAAGGTACCCCAACAAACAGGAGCGACCGTTCAGGTTGCACAAATTGCAAATCACTCCCGTGAATCTCCTAACCAATTAAATTTATAAATTATGATGATCA